ATACAGTTTACTGTCTGCGTTAACGGAGGTTCTAGGCAGCGTCTGGGAATCAGAGGAAGTCCCATCGGGTTGGTGTAAGTCACTGATCATCCCGATATACAAGAAGGGGGACAAGTCGTCTTGTGATAATCACAGAGGGATTAGCTTGACTAATATAGTATCTAAAATCCTAGGCTCAATAATACTGCGTAGATTAAGTGGTGCTCGGGAGACACAAACACGAGAAAACCAGGCAGGTTTTAGGCCAGGTAGAGGGTGTATTGATCACATCTTCACCCTTCGACAGATTCTAGAACATAGGCATTCCTACCGACGTCCGACAATCATTATATTTCTTGACCTAAAGGCGGCATTCGATTCTGTCGACCGGGAGGTTCTCTGGCGATGCTTGGCTGTAAAGGGAATGCCAAGAAAATACATTGCACTGATTAAAGCACTCTACTCGTACTCATGCAGCCAGGTGAGGGCTTATGGCGAGTTGTCATCTGAAGTGGTGACGACTAGTGGCGTCCGTCAAGGATGCCCATTATCCCCATTCCTATTCAATTTCATCATAGACGTACTAATGGACTTAACCCTATCACACTTCAGCGACTCAGGGATTGACTTGCTACCAGGGAATAATCTCCTTGACTTAGAATATGCAGATGATATAGTCCTTCTAGGCGAGGACGCTGACAAAATTCAGCAGAGTCTTCTGAACACCTTGAGCAGCAATCTTCGTATGTTTGGCATGCGATTCGCCCCTGTAAAATGTAAGATGATGCTGCAGGATTGGACTTCACCGACCCCTAGATTAGAAATAGGAAGTGAAGTGGTAGAGCACGTTGAACGCTTCACTTACTTGGGAAGTGCCATTAGCCCCAACGGGTTGATCTCTGACGAAATTTCAGTACGAATACAGAGGGCTAGTTTCGCATATGCCAGTTTAGGCCGTCTCTGGCGCAGACGTGATATCCGACTATCGACCAAAGGCTGTGTGTACTGCTCATCAGTCCGCTCTGTCCTCCTTTATGGCTGTGAGTGAGACATGGCCATTGAGAGCGGAAGACATGAAAAGATTAGCTGTCTTCGATCATAGGTGTCTGCGTTCTATCTCCCGCGTGAAGTGGTATAATAAGGTGAGCAATATTGAGGTTAGGCGTCGAGTGCTAGGTAAGGAGGGGAAATCAATCGTCGAGGCTGTGAAATTACATCGACTGAGATGGTTAGGACATGTTCTACGTATGCCTAGTCATCGCCTTCCTCGACAATGGGTAATGTTAGCTGATATGGGGCCAGGCTGGAAAAGAGCTAGCGGCGGTCAAACGAAAACATGGCTTGATCAGTCAATGCAATCCACAACAGTTAATCTAAGCCATATAGGAAGATGTAGACTTCCTAGTTGGGGCCCTCGGGATGGTAAAAACCAATGGTTGGAAACAATTGGTGACATGGCTCAAAATCGTTCTCAGTGGCGCAGATGCATCCACTCCTTGTGACTTATGATTTCCAATTAAACTGTTTTGTTCTTCGTTATTACTATTCCTTTGTCTCACACCTCTGTTTACTGTCTATATTATGCATTTCTTCTACTTCCTTCTCTTGCTTTGTGTGCTACATGGAGTGTGGCGACTTGAACTGCCGCACATATATGCAAAGTTCTATGTCGAAAACCGACCGACCAGTCCGTCACCAGTGGAACGTGAATAGGAGACTACGACTTGGATTTGAGTCTGATGATGGTATGGAAGAGATCGTGTGGGATAGAAATATAAGATTTTTGGAAATCGTTTGACAGTTAACAAAAATCGCAGGGAACAGAGTAGAATGGCAATGTGCCGCTGAAGCTGTATGTTCCACCTGGAACCAAAAGGAATAATAATAGTAACTTGAATTTCAAGTTTTACTACGGATTGATATCGGTTAGAAAACTAGAGATTACTAGACAGCTGTTTTGTCCTAGTTTGCGAGTCATCGTCAGTTCGCACCCACTGGGGTTCGAAGCTAGGACTGATGCTAGCTAGTGCCTGACTACAGGACCGAGTTTCCTGGAGTTCTCGTGAGCATTTGTGACCAGTCAGGTCCATCCAGTTGGGGGTGGACTTCCCACCGATGACATTGGTTGGTAGTCGCGCTAAAATAACGAATTGGTAGAAGTTAGAATTCATAGGCTTGCCATTGAATTGGGTCCCAGTGGCTGAATTGTATACGAGCTAGCTTGACTTGTAACCGGAAGGTTCTGGGTTCGAATCCCAGATTACTACATATTTCATTTGTTGTTACATGCTGAAATGTTATAGTTATGTTTGTTTGTGTAGGTTCCTCTTCTAAGAAATTCGAAGTGTTAAGTGCAGTTGATTAAAGACTAGAATGAGCACAGTGCCAGAAATATCCATAAGGCATGTACAGCGGTTACCGTTTAATCATTTAAAAAATAATTCCTGCAGAACAAAAATAATGCGATAAATTTTAATGACATACAACAGTTATGGTCATAAAGTAATGACATAGCAAACAAAATATAACCACATACTACTACTTATTACTCGTAAGTAGTATAAAGTTGAACAAAAAGGATCAATAAGAAAGAAATTTTAAGAAGTTACATCCGGTGAGGGAATTGAATCACAGGTGTGAATGCATAAAAAAAAATAGTATGAAATGCAATTAAAATATTTGTGATTATAATCATAGTTAAATGTCAAGTGTCAAAGCAAATTAATGTCATATATAGGATAATTCATAGGATAGATAGAACTTGAAAAAGGTGTGCAATTATAAGATTAGTAGACAAATCGAATAAAATAAAAATGTTACGTAATATTGAAGACAACAAGTTGAATATAGGGATACCCACTACAGATTTGAAAGAACTATTTTTCAGATGTACATTAAGCGTACAGTTTACTTTCAATGAAACAACCTACAGACAGAAGGATGGTATTGCAATATGTACTCTCTTGGGTCCCGTCCTTGCAGACTTTTATGGCCAGTCTAGAATATGGTCAGTTGAAGTCAACAATCGAAAGCATTCAAATGTATAAAAGGTATTTAAACGACAACTTAATTATTTGTAATAGTGATTGTAATTTGGATAATATATTAAATAGATGCCATCCAGCGATAAAATTCACACTCAAAATGGAGAACGAGTCTAGTATTCACTTCCTCAATGTGAACTTATCAAGGAGGATGGATGGGACTTTGAAGAGATCGATTTATCGAAAGCTGTCATGGAATGGTCAACTGACATATTTCTACAGCTGGGTACCCATCGGTTGAAAACGAAACCTGGTCCAGTCGCTTGCCACTCGCATTCGGCACATATGCAACCCTGAAACTGGAGGATGAGTTAAATCTTTTGAGGAAAATCCTAATAGAAAATGGATTTCCACCACGTTTCATAGACAAGAATATACAGTGAAAACCTATGAAATGTGACTTGTCATCCGCACCCAAGAAAATACTGTACATGAGCTTGGAATTCAAAGGTGAATTCGCTTCCGATATCAAATAAAGAAAGACCTCACAGCCTCTGAAAGGGACATTCCCTGCTGCATCTTTGAGAACACTGTTTTCCAGTCGACCATTGTTGTTTATTAATCTGAAGGACAAGATCCCTCTGTTGACAAAGTCTATGCGCGTTTATCAATTCACCTGCTCTTGTGGAGTTCGGTATATCGGTTGTTCGACTCGAGTCGTGTCTAAGAAGATGCAAGAACACTATCCTGCATGGTTGCGAAGAGGTGGAAGTGGAGATTTAATAGGCACAATCAATGAACATCTGATCGATAATAACCACCCTATCTCTATAGCCTCCGCCTTTAAAGTCATCTACAAGGCAAAGAGTAATCTACCCAAATCCCTACGTACCCGACTCATCTGTATTGCTGAAGCTTTGGCTATGGAAACAGAAAAGCCAGATCTCTGTGTACAGAAAAAGTTTGTTCAAACCCTCCAACTCTTATGGTCTTAATCCCTCTACTTTAAAGTATTGTAGTCTCTAATCTTATTTTGGCTCTATCAACTTTCTCATTTTGTGTATTCAATTTGTATACTCTTCCCTTATGACGTCAACTGTTACTATTACTACTCTCACTTTTAACTGTCCCCGGTATTATTTCACTTGTTCCACTTGTCATTCTAAATCAGTTCTGTTTTGCAACGTTGAATTCTGTGTTATCAAACTTCACACTATATTACGTAACGTTTTTATGTTTATTGTAATTGCCTACTAATCCTACAATTATGCACCACTTTCCAATATCTCATCAAAAACAAATCTAATCCTTACAAACCAACTATAGAAAATTATAAGATTTAATAGTGTGAAATATTCCCATATCGTGAATTAAAAGTAAATCTGAATGAAGAATATTCTTCCTAATAATTTCTCTACTTCAGTTTCTTGCAATTATAAAGTATAATATTTGTTGTCGTTATAATAATAATAGTCAGT